GCGTCTTCTCGGCTCCATTTTCCCCTCGTACCTGCGGGGCCCCCTGTGCTCCTGGTGTCTGCCACATGGCGGAGCCGGCTCGGTAACCGCTTCGCTCCTGGTGACATCAGGCTGCGGAGCGAGGCGAGGGGGAGCCAGGCCGTTGGGTTGCGGAGGCTGTAGGGACTGACGGAGCCCTTGGCGCGGTGTGTGTGAGAGAAAGAGTAGTGTCTGTAGTTTTGGACCAGTAAACTCAGGTTTCCTTTTAGCAGGCCTAGCATAGTTCAGAGATCCCACTCCCTTGTCTGTGTTAACCGTTTTTGTTACTCAGGCTTTCAACTCTGCAGAAGTGTGTGGTCAGCCTGGAGTGTTTGTGCACACATTATTGTTACATGAAAAACTTTTCCTTGCTCCTACGATGAATTTTCCAGCAAAGGCTATGCATTTTTCAGTTCTTTGAAGTGTTGCTTTAGGCTTACGAAGGAGAGCTTGAAGATTCTATGATGTTCATAAAGATTTCCTCTTGCACTCTATTCCTGCCACAGAGTGTACTGTGGAAATCTTGAAAGAGGTTTTTCAGTGTGAGTCTTGGTGGTGATGAATGTATGTGTGGGAGGGTTGTTTTACCAAACGAGGATTTTCATCAATATTCCGAGCGGGTCTGGTGTGGTGATAATTTTTATCATATATTTTACAGCTTCAACATAAAACCTGAGACAAAGCTCTGGACCTTGGTGGGAGATTAATGCTAGGCTAACTAGAGGTTCTGAAAACAGACACATTTAAGACAAATAGTCTCACCACATCCATAGGCTGTGAATCTACTACTGGAGCAACATGATTGTGATATTTTCACACAGCGAAACTGAAGAACTAGTAGTGAATTTTATATATTGCTGTATTCTTGTGTGTGGTGCCTAGATGTTGTTCTGGGTAGGGCATGTAGTGTGTGACACATAATACATGGTAGATTACATCTGTAAAATGTGTTATTATTCTGTTTAATGTTTACTAGTATTGTGTAGTATGTTTGTCCTTTAAAAAACAAATGCAGTTCGTAAAGCTGATATATTTGGTTTTTTCCTTTGAGTTTCATAACTGTTTTCAAACGTAAACCCAACACTGGAAAAATCCTACCTCCCTACTGAACTTGCGGGTTTCTCTTATTGTTGTAAGATTTGGAAACATGCATAACTAAATGCAAAACAATAGGTTATATAGAAAAAAATGGCTTTTGTGGAGTTATGGAACTGTAGCAAATAGCCCTTAATTTTCAAGCAGCAGAACTGAAGTAATTTGAAGGGAGGATTCTTTTGGCAGTATGGTTGCTCTGATAGCCTATTAAAATTATATATGGTATTGTGTAACTTGCAGCATCCTTCCCTTTATTTCTTTTAAGAGATGAAGTGAAAGGAAACTCGACGTACCAGCGGTTTGCTGCTTTTAAATTCTTTTGTCTAATTTTGCCTGTCTGTACAAGGAAGAGAAAGTACTAGCTTCTTCCATGTTCCTTAGAAGACAAACTGCTAAATCAAACAGCAAGATTACAAGTGTTCTTAACAGAAATTTAAAATTATTCTAAAATGCAGTATTTTTTAGGAAAAAAAAAATTAATGGCTGACTTCTGGTGAGACAGCAGTATCTCAGGCTGGTAATAGGGTGATGCATTTTTAACAAAAACTGATTCAGTACTACATACAGTAATTGTTTTCCTGTTGCATGCATCTAGATCCAGGACTGCCTTGGGCCAGCCTCAGGAAACACATTGGTCTACCTGCAGATTGGCTTAATACTTGTAAAAGCATTTGTGCAGTGCACGGCTTTGCTTATTTTCCAAAACCTCACTGTTCCATCCAAACACCCAAGCAGGTTTCCTTGGTTTTTAAAATTAGTTACCAATATAAAGCTGAAGTGATTGTTGCATTGGAATACTCTTGTCCCTAGCAGGATAAGTCTCTTTAAAACAACATTCTAAAATCTTAAATTTTGTAGAAGGGAATTACTTTTTGGTGCAATTTTTAGCTGTTGCTGTTTGACATACAAAATTAATAAGTGTCTAATCTAGTGATGCTGTTGTGTATAGAAAATGATTATGCCTGCTTAGTATAAAAAGTTAGTATGGAAGTATTTCATAAAGTAGTTAATGTATTTGCCCTGTTTTGTTTTGGTTTTTTTTAAACAATTTACTTGTCATCACGGCAGAAGTTTCTGCTGAATAAGCACAGTAACAAGTTTCTCTGAAAGGCAATAGAACAAATTCTTACTAGTGTTTGTTAGCGGATATATATGCAAATATTCATAATTTTTATTTTCATTTTAAAGGGAATCCACTTTTTTGGTACTGCTGCTGTTGAGAGTGAATAGGTTTACTGCTAATTCCAGTGTTCCAGATTTGTTATAAGTCATTTTAATAAATTAATGAGAAAATACAAATCAGCAACCCTATTTAGAACATCTGTAGCTGTGTCTTCTTCGATTAATATCACAGTATTTGTGTACAACAGTTGGAGCAAGAATGATGTTTACAAATAAATGCCACTTGGTGCAGAATCATTATGAATGTAATTAAGAGGGTTTTTGTGGTTTTTTTTTTTCATGTTTCTTTAAAGAGCCTCTTCTAGAGATCTTTAAGAAGACTATTCAGGAAGCATTTTAATGTAGTCCGTTCCTTGTTCTTAGTATTTGGAGGGAGTGATGGGAAGAAGCGCATTATAAATATCTGTATTATAAAAGTGGACCCATAGAATTGCATTAATTGCTTAATGTCTTGAATAGTGGTTGAATATTAAGAAGAACCCAGCCTAACTTTGCAAAGCATGTCTTACTCAAAGTTTTTGACAGTTTAAAAAAATCCTACTTGTGACTAATAAGGCTGATGCAGAGAGGATATTGTTCATTATATTAATGTAATCCTCTTTTCTTTGCTAGAGGGAAAAGGAGCAGTTCCGCAAACTGTTTATTGGTGGCTTAAGCTTTGAAACAACAGAGGAAAGCTTGAGGAGTTACTACGAGCAATGGGGAAAGCTCACAGACTGTGTGGTAAGTTTGGCACTCAGATGCACTCAGTGGCATAGGATATTGTAAAAATGGGGAGCTTCTTCTGGATAGCTTAACTAAAAGATGGCATATTAAAATTCAAGTGTACAGTTGGTTGTACATAATTCAGTCCATTGAAGCTATGCATAAACTTTACCTTGCAAAATGTTGATAGAGTTTGGGAGCTTTCAGTCTGTTTCCTGTAAAATCTCCTGGATTATCTCTAAACACTGATGTCAGCAGTTTAAAATTAACTTGGGAGTCTTTTGCTGAAGTGCATTAGGAAGTGCTCCCATAGAGCAGTGTTAACATCTCTCTGCTTGGCAGCCTTTGACAGATAGCTGGTATCATGGTAAGCAGCCTCAGTAAAGCGGGAAAATTCTTTGTGATGTTTTCATTGAATGATTTAGGATGGAGAAGACACCCGTTAAGATCATTGAGTCCAGCTGTAAACCTAACACCATCAAGTCTACCATTAAACCATATCCCCACGCACCACATCTGTGCGTCCTTTTAAGTGCCTCCAGGGACAGTGACTGTTGCAGAAGTTTCTCCACTGAATTTGTTTATGGGAGCAGTAAATAAATATTTCATAACACAAGTGTAAAGTCTGGTCTTCAGAAAGTTTAAAATATATTGTTTGATTTTTAGATAAAACGGACATAAACATAAATGCACATCACTGATACAGCAGCATTTCTGAGTTATGAAATGATCTCTTGTCTTGGAGGATAACAATAGTTTGAATTTCTGTGATGCCAAGCAGTGCCATTCATAATTTTAATCAGCATACACTGATACTTCATCATAATGGGGTTTGGAAATCAAATCAAGGAAAATAAAAGTTTACTTGTTTACTCCCAATGTTGTTAGTATTAAGTTTAACATGAGACAGGTAGAGTTTTAAATGTATATTGTTTTTAGGTAATGAGGGATCCTGCAAGCAAAAGATCAAGGGGGTTTGGTTTTGTAACATTCTCCTCCATGGCTGAAGTTGATGCAGCTATGGCTGCAAGACCTCATACAATTGATGGAAGGGTGGTTGAGCCTAAGAGAGCTGTGGCTAGAGAGGTAAGTACAGCTTTGAAAACAGGTACTTTTCATGTTTTGGAAAAGGAATCTCTTGTTTTGGTCAGAGTTGTTTGAAGTGGCTGGGGTTTAAATTCTTTAGGTAATAGGCTGTAGTTGTAGTTTCCCATACTTGTGGTCTGTTAAATTATGTTCTTGCATAACATGTATTATTCCAGTGAATTATTAAGTTATTCTGGTTATGGAACCTTGTCTGCAAGGGACACAACTGGGGTCTAAAAGTACTGTTAGCGAAAACATGTTGAATGTCTGCAGTTAGGCAAATTCCCAACTAACTTCTCTGGAATGGTTATTGTTATTAAACATTGAGTTAATATTAACTCCTCTCAATCTCTCCTGACTCCAAGATCTTTTCTGGTACTTCTAAAAGGTATGTAGCTTGAAGTGCCTAAAAATACAGAATGTAGATGGGAAACTTGATTTTTTCCAGTGATCGTGTACAGAATAATCTTAAGACTACTGTGGATTTAGCCCCAAGCATATTTGGTTTAACTTTAGGGTTCAAATAAGGTGAGTGCACAGGAATGCGGTGCACTTGTAAGCTTTTCAGCCAGGTTACTGTGGCACAGGGGTACTTGAGGAGCATTTCTGCCTAGTACAGCAGCTTGGATATCATGCTCAAAGTGTAAAAATAACCCATGAATGTGAGGAGTTGTCTTCATATTTTGAATAGGGATTAAATGCATAGCTGTGCGTTCTTCAACCTCAGTCCTTCACTGAAAGTTGAAAGACCTTTGCTGTTGATAGAAGTGGAATGTGGGTTTCACTGCTGTTGAGGACATAGGCAGAGGAAAGTGTCACATATTTGTTTCAGTTATAAAAATTGTGCTCTAGCTTAATTTATTTGCAGTTCTTTTGAATAGTTGTTCTTACTTTTCCTCTAAATATTTTAAAGGCTTCTAATACACTTTTATGCATTTCATAATACATCTCTCTGTATCTTTTTCACTACTTTTAAGGCTTTGACATAAAAGAAGGAGGAAGATCCTCCAAATTAGCCATGTTACTTCCCTCCCAGAAGGTCCCCCAAGTAAGGTTGCAGGGACATGCATTGTAAGAGGACTATCTCAGTGCTTGAAAAGTCTTAGTTTATCAGTATTCTATTCCTGAAATCCTGGCAAAATATAGTAATTTGTGAGTTGTTCGTTGAAGTAATTTAAAGGATTCTTTTAACAGGAATCTGGAAAACCTGGTGCTCATGTTACGGTGAAAAAATTATTTGTTGGTGGTATTAAAGAGGACACTGAAGAGCACCACCTTCGTGATTACTTTGAGGAATATGGGAAAATTGACACTATTGAAATAATTACTGACAGACAGTCTGGTAAAAAGAGAGGGTTTGGATTTGTTACATTTGATGACCATGATCCTGTGGATAAAATAGTATGTAAGTAAGCTTCATTTCACTCTCTTATTTGATAGTGTTAGTCCTTGCAGTCATGGCAGTTGAGTAAAACTAAACTAATGCCATTTATTTATGTGCATTCATATTTGCTACATTGTTTTGGTGAATTGTGTGGGAACACATTTTAAATAATTGCTGGCTTTGCTTAAAAATCATAGGATATTTTGGGTTTTTTTCATTATATGAATTGTAAGTTAGTTTGGAAATAAATTTGTTTTTGTAAGCCTGGTATGTTGCCAGATCAGTACGTAAATGCTGATGCTATCTTACTTGATGTGGTTACAGTGCAGAAGTATCACACCATCAATGGCCATAATGCAGAAGTAAGGAAAGCTCTCTCTAGACAGGAAATGCAGGAAGTTCAAAATTCTAGGAGTGGAAGAGGAGGTATGTACAAATGTATCTATTAATGGTTAATGATTTGTGTTCACTTTCTGTGATCTCACTACTTAAAAATGTTAAAACTGTTACAGGCAATTTTGGTTTTGGTGATGCACGTGGTGGTGGTGGCAACTTTGGTCCAGGACCTGGCAGCAATTTCAGAGGTGGAGCTGGTAAGACAGGCATGTTTGTAGTATTTATTTGGGTTTTTTTTCCTTATTTATACTGCTTTTCTGATTCTGGCTGACTTGGTAAGCTACTGCTGTTTAACTTATAAACCTCTACTGCAGTACACAAATTGATGATGTGGTTATTGGGTTTTTTTTAGGTATTTTATTAGAAGTCAAAATGAACATAAACTTTAATTTTGCTCACCAGTTCAGACCTTTCTCTGTAATTCTGTGCAACACTTGACTGACGTTTACAGCAGAGGGCTATTTCCAAAATAAAAACTGGACATCTTAAAATGTAGATCAATGACTGCATGTGTAACTTCACATGTATTTTTCTAAATTCACATGTATGTGTCCTTGATGACTGAGTAATCTCTGAGATTTGGTTCTTAAGATAACAGGAATTTGAGAATTCACTTCATTACAGGTACATTGAAATACTTTTGGGTTTTTTGTCTCCCAACAGATGGATATGGAAGTGGCCGTGGATTTGGTGATGGGTATAATGGATACGGTGGAGGACCTGGAGGTTGGTCTGCTTTTTTGTGGTGGTGATGGATTTTTTTTTTCTGTCATTCAGAAATGGTTTTATATTTACTTACCTTTGGTATAAACTATATATTAATTGCTAAAACCATTTTGTTGGCTCAATTAAACCTTTATATGGTAAATTGTATGGTTATTTCTTGGGACAACTATTCCCTTTTATTTGGAGTAGCAGTGTTAGTTAAATTTCTTGAAAACTCATAATTTTAATTGAGTCTTTTAAGGCAGTCTGGCTGGTGGGTTTTATTGACAGTATGATTGGGTGGGAGTTGGTATGCACATTTAAAATTAATTGCCATAGAAATTTATTTACAAACTCCTACCCTTTTCTTCTCCTGTAGAGCTAGAAAAATATCCTCTAATTCTGTAGAATTTGATTGCCAACATTTGCCACTGAAAAGTTTATTTTAAAGGATTTTATTGTCACAGGTGGCAACTTTGGTGGCAGTCCTGGTTATGGAGGAGGAAGAGGAGGGTATGGTGGAGGAGGACCTGGATATGGCAACCAGGGAGGGGGCTATGGAGGTGGTTATGACAACTATGGAGGAGGTAATTTACTGGCTTGAAATTACTTTAATTAGTCCAAGTAATTTGAGATTTGGTGGGGGGTGTAAGGGTTAAGGAATCTTTTTTTTCCAAATAGTATGAAAAAGGACTTTGTTGCATACATTGCTGGAATACCTGTGTGATTTTGTACTTTATTTAAAATTCTAATACTGGCATAGCATTAGGAGCGTTATACGCGTGTTAGTTTATCTAGGTATTTCCCCATTTTTGTATTGACCATGCAGGCAATTATGGAAGTGGAAACTATAATGATTTTGGAAATTACAACCAACAACCTTCAAATTACGGTCCAATGAAGAGTGGAAATTTTGGTGGCAGCAGGAACATGGGGGGACCATATGGTGGAGGTATTGTATATGTCCTGACCTGCCTTGGAGCCAAATGGAGTGGGTGGGCTTTAGTTTTTGGGGGAGGTGGAAGGGAAGATATGACAAGGGGCAAATATTTTTTATCTAAAAGATAAGATTAAGATAAGGTATGAGGAAGAAATTCTTTGCTCTGAGGGTGGTGAGGTGCTGAAACAGGTTTCCCAGAGAAATTGTGAATGTCCCATCCCTGGAAGAAGTTCAAGGCCGGGTTGGATTTGAGCAACCTGATGTAGTGAAAGATGTTCCTGCCCATAGTAGGGAGGTTGGAACTAGATGGGCTTGCAACCTAAACCATTCTGTGATTCTAAGATTGGCATGTAAAGCTTGTGAAATGGAAACTGAAACATTAAGCTCTTTTTTGTAATTTTTAACATGGAAATAAAGTCAGCTCTCACAGGCTCAAGACAGTAAAGTGCATCAAATTACATGTGACACTGTTTTAATCTCCTAAGATGTCATGTAGTTCTTAGGGCTGTTCTTGGAAGTTATTCAGAGAGAGGCTGCAAAACAATAAAATCTGGTGTGTATGCTGTCTCTGAAAGTAAGGTGGATGTTAATTTTCATGGATAAACAAAAGCATTCATAGATAAAAAAACTATACCGATGTAATTGTTCTGTTTCTTCATTGTCTGCCATTATAGGAAACTATGGTCCTGGGGGCAGTGGAGGAAGTGGTGGATATGGAGGGAGGAGCCGTTACTGAGTTTCTGCAAGCATGCCATGGGTAAGTATGTTTTTAAGTATTAAAATTGCAGTGATTCTTGAGAGTAGCTGCAGGAGTTAAAAGCTTTTTAGGCTCATATTATCTTTCCTTTAAAAAATGGTTAGATGAATAATTTCATAACCTATTTTTTTACTCTTTACTTCTGTTGAAACAGGCTTCACTGTATAAATAGGAGAGGATGAGAGCCCAGAGGTAACAGAACAGCTTCAGGTTATCGAAATAACAATGTTAAGGAAACACTTATCTCAGTCATGCATAAATATGCAGTGATATGGCAGAAGACACCAGAGCAGATGCAGAGAGCCATTTTGTGAATGGATTTGGATTATTTAATAACATTACCTTACTGTGGAGGAAGGATTGTAAAAATGCCTTTGAGACAGTTTCTTAGCTTTTTAATTGTTGTTTCTTTCTAGTGGTCTTTGTAAGTGTAGAAGCATTCCTTTGATAATGTTAAATTTGTAAGTTTCAGGTGACATGTGAACCTTTTTTAAGATTTTTCTCAAAGTTTTGAAAAGCTATTAGCCAGGATCATGGTGTAATAAGACATAACGTTTTCCTTTTAAAGATTTAAGTGCGTGTGTAGAGTTAAGAAGCTGTTGTACATTTATGATTTAATAAAATAATTCTAAAGGAAATATTGTGTAATTTTAGATTTTTTTTTAATATTGTAAAATAAGGCAAGGAGTGGGTAGTATAAGGTCCCACAAATAATATAAAGCTATTGTTGTACATGTAAAATTAAATGCTGGTCAGAAAAAAAGTATGTTGTCTGTAAATGATCAGGTTTAAAATATCTAGATAACTTAAGGGTTATCTCTGCAAGGAGAAACACCTTTTTAGATCTTTTAGATGCTGCTTCTTCAATGGCAAGGAAAGGAAGTATCCCCAGCGAGGTACTCTTCCAGGGACACAGGTCTAGTACAAGAGAACTCTTGAAAACGTCACTAAGTTCAGCCAGTCTTAAAAAGCTGTGCTGTATTTCTGCAAAGCTTTAACTACGGTAGTTGATAAGGATGCCAACGAAGGCTGAGGGTGTAGAGCAAAATAGTTCTAAGCTTCAGTTAAACTTCTTTAGGTAAGATCTTATTTACTTTTCCTTTCTTAATGTTCCAAAACCAAGAAACTAATAATGCTTTACAGTATTCTTTCAGTATAGTGATAATTGTTATGTAGTTTAACATAGTAATGAATTGAGTTAAAAATTACCAATTGAAATTTGTGAATCCTGTTTTCTTGTATTATTAAATTTTTTACAAAGACATTTTTGTTAATTTCAGCTACTTAACGTATTTTTTTCCTACTGGAATCTAGCTATGATATGAACCCTGGACAAGCATAGACTGCTGCCACTGTACACTGCTACAGTTGAACAAATGAGACCTGCAAGTGTCCATTAGTAAAGCTTTGCAAGGGTTCCATTCCTGGTGTTGGTAGTTAAAATGGTAGGTCACAAGTTAATTAAATCATACAACTTTATTTTTCCATCCTGCAACATTTTATTTTTTCTTGGGAGTCTATGCATTATGGTGGTTGCAAGGTAATGCAATGAAGGTAGTTTTGTGCTGTTGAAAATGAACTATGTTGTTACGTGTCTTGTCTACTGTAATCGATTTTATATAACACGTTTTATCCTCAAGGTTCCCAAGTAACTGTAGACTGTTTACATGTAAGGAAAAAAATTGCACCACAGAATACATCTGCCTCTGTGAAGGAATGTGTCGTCCATTCTTTTTACAACTGCATAAGCAGTTCTTTAGGAGGGGAAGTGAAAACTTCAAATGAAACTGCAGGTGGTATTTCACAAGTGTATAATGTCATTACATAAATTGGCATTTGGCTAGAATGTTGAGGTTTCCACCATTTTTTATAGTTCTTGCAGCTAATAAACCTTAGTGCCAAATTCAGTCAGCCTTACTCTCACTGTGTTGAATGTTTGCACCTCAAATTAATGAAAATTCACCAAGTAATGAGTTACTCAGAGTAAGGGTGACATACTCCACTAGATTTGGTTTTAAAATCAAATTCAACAAAACCCACCCCCCAAAAAAAAGGCAACAAAAAATGCCCCAATTTCAAAGTTTCACTGCCTTTAAAAGGCACTGAAGAATGTGGACTCAGCTACCAAAAGTCCTGTTCCTTTTTGTGTTAGACACATCAGTGAACTGCTTATACTTTTTTTAAAATGGCTGAAGTTCCCCTATTGGTAATTTGGTTTAGACATATGTTATAAACATCTTCAGATACACTTTTTTTTTCTTTGGCAGGAAGGTGCCATGCTGCAGGTAACTAATGAAGAAGTGGTCAACCACAGAAACGCTTCAAGAAATAAGAAATTCTGTTTCATCAGAAAATAGTTGTTTTTGCTGCCTTCATTAAAAATCTAGAGGTTAAATGAATTCTGATAAAACATCACAATTAGTACAGATCCCTGTAATGCTGGGTTTTTTAAATTATAGTAATAATGTCTTGTAAACCTTTCAAATAAAATTCAGATTCGTTAGGAGAAACAAATCACTAATGTTAAAATAGCAAACATTCTGTGAGTAGAAAGTTTAACTACATATTTTTATAACTTTCATAGCTTTAAAATAAAGTATTTTTTTATACAAAAGTAGTTCTAGTGTAATGCTTGATAAAACTTAGTGTGTGTCTAACATTAAATAATGTTTCTGTGCAGCTTTTAGACCCTTTAATGATTTGAAACATTCCATTTTGAGGTGGATTTAAAACAAAGTCAACTTGGCAAGTGTATTCTCAGAACTTGTGTTTCTGGCCAGAGGCACCTGTTCTCTGTTGGGAGAAACAGTGCTACAAATGAAAAATGCTCATCTTTTTTGCTATTGGACACAATTGCTTTAAAATAGCTTTTTGGCTGTGTTTTTTATCACTTGATAAAAATACGTCCTCCATTTCTGTTAAACAAATTAACCACTTAAGTGACAGTTTGTCAAGATGTGATAGGACAATAGCTTTATCCTTTTCACCCATACACAGCTCTTAGCATCAAGAGAGAAAAACTGAATGGAATATAGAGTTCCTGTGGTACCAGAACTGCATTACTGATAGCTGCATCTTCTGAGGGAAAAATCCAACAAAAAACTGACAAACCATAAACCAGACTAACGGAACTCCTAAGTGTCAGCTTGGGAGAGATTCACTTTGGGAATGTATTTGACGGAAAATATCTTAAGTCTGTATGGTTTTAACCTCTTACCTATATACACCGTTTATTCTAAACTCAAAATTTATATGCTTATCTTTAGCAGAATCATGTCTTATAACGTTCTTTTATATAATTAAAAATATATTATTTAAGGATTCACATTTTTTTTTCTGTGTTTCTTAAGTTGAACTTTGAAATATTTGCATAGGTAACGGCTGGGCTACAATGGAAGCAGAAAAAGAAGATGCCCAAAATCTGCTTTACTTTGTTCTTTCCAACAGAAAGAGTTTACCAGTTGATACAGAATTTGCCTTCCTGCCTGGAACTTAAATTTAGTTAATGGAAGTTTTTTTCTTTACAGTTGTGAAGTCCACATTCATTTGACATAAAAAAGACACTTCAAAGGGGCGTACTTCTCTCTGTTTGAAATATTTACAGTTTTTCTGTAGTTTTGCAGCAAAGTTTAAAATTTATTTGAAATAAGTATGTTACATTTGCCATAAAGAGGATGTTTTAACTTTATAATCTACTGGTGATGGTGGAAGGGAATGTATTTGGGACAGCAGTATGCAAAAAGTAAGTTACTGGATGTCTAAAGTCTTGAAAGCTTGGGGTATTTGAGTGTGAGTTTCTTCTTGCCCTACTGTTGAACTTTCTTGACTTTACTTTCTCAGTATATTCTTAAGAATTAAAGCAAGTGACAATCGCAGTGGTTACTGGTGAATTCAGTGACAGAAGTCATCGTTTTGAGTCAACCTGATACTGAAAGCTAGCAGCAAAAAGAACAGTGTGTGGTTAATTACTGGTCCTCAATTTGTAGACTGTGTATACCTTTCTGGTTTCTAAGAAGTTGGTTTTATGTCACACTACAGACTTCATGATTTCAAACTAAGAGTAACATTGCCAGTCAGTGTGTTTCAGTATACTAACAACTGAGGATGAGGTTGTCAATCCTAGGCCCAGCTTGCCCCCAACAAACACTTCTGGAAGCAAACTAAGGAAAGAATGTGAAAGACAACATAACTTTTTGGTAACTGGTATGGGAGAAGTTAACAACACACACACCTGTATGATTTGTGTTTATAAAGTGCTGAGCAGAGGTCAATACTATGGTTTTGGGCACTCGCATGTTGTGTTTTCTGTATTTAAAATGAAAGTTGAATTTTACTCCCTTGTGCTTCAGTTGCTGGAAAGTGTTTTAAGAAAATGTGAGAAATTGCTCTCAATATTGTAAAGTAAACAAGACTTGCACGTCATACGTGGGGAAGAAGATTACGTTATTTCAGTTTTACAATAATTGTGCAGATCTTGGGGATGAAATCATAGGACTTTTGGGGAAGAAACAATCCTCAGAAACAGGAATTTTGAAGGACCTGTCAGCTGAGGGTTTTTTTGTATCTGCCACATTTGTGAAAGGTTAATTTGCTGAGAACATACTGGAACAGAACAGTACATTGCCTGTACCTTTATTGTTTCAGTTTGTTTTCCAATCACAGTACATTATGCAAGTGGAATCCCATGGTAGTGCTATTTATTTTCTCTTAAGGGAGACACCAAGTTCTCGTTATGCATCAATACTGGTAGGAATTCATAGGACTAACATGGGTGTTTCTGGGTGGTGGTGATGCCTGAAGTCAGTACTGTCCATTTTAACAATTGGGTTCTTGCTTTGCAGCTAGGCTTGATGGCATTGCAGCGGAAGTCATTCCATTTAATGTGAGCAAGAACTGGTTTATCAATAGTAAAAGGAAACTGCTTAATAAATGGCTGTGTGACAGATTGCTATGGATGTACTAGATCAGCCACATTTGGGGACCATGTAGTTTACAAACTAGCTTCTGTGACCGGCTATGCTACTTCATTGTATGAAAAGGGTGACTATGGGCAAATCCAGAAAATTGCTGTTCCACCTGAGTTCTTGTCAACACATGATTTCACACACACACACACCCTTTTGCTTCGTCTTGCTTGGTCTGCTCTGTTGGTTTTTCAAGCATTGTGTGAAAGTGGCTGACACATTTAATGGAGTTCTAGTAGCTGTGTAGGGAGGTATCAAGTTGCTGTGCTTTTATGAGGTACACTACAGTAATAAGACTTCTGTGGTTAAATGTGTCATCTGATTTATTTAATAAACAGTTCTTCACTACAACCTGGCACTGAGTGTCCTGTTGTCTCATTTATAGGCCTCTACCTATTCTGTCATCCAAATTCTAATGGGAACCATATTTCTGACTCCTGTAAGATACAAATGTAATGTGTGTAGTTGGAACATACTGAGCTGTTAAAACTGACAAACTGATCTTGATGAAGTTACTTCGTCCTTTGTTTCCTCTTGGAAGTTCATTGTTTACCTCATCTAAACTAGATTGTAAGCTCTTGA